GAGCGAAAACCTGAGTCTATTAGGCACGTGCTTAACACCTGTCACGTGAAACAATTGCTTCAAGACCGTTAGTTCAAGGATAAAGAATGCGCTGATCACTTCTACTTGAGAAGCTGCATCAGCTCTAATGGGTTGGTCGCTAGCAAAACCCTGACTTACATACAAAACACCCACTTGTTATTTGCAATTTACACCATCTCGTTGTCTACAAGACGTCCGGAGATACATCAAAAGATGAGTATACTACGGAGCAATCTGATCTGCTGAGAAAGCCATTGAAAGTATTAAACATGAGACAGCATGTACCTGATTATAGGTGTTCTTAGCATTGTTTGTTTGTGACAGAACTATCATATGAGTAATATATATAGAGTACTAGGCATAGAAGGCAAGTCAACTGAGTTCATAATCTTTCACCGGCTGACAGACTGACAAAATCATCGTAGAACTTCACACACAGGTGCATCGACTAAAGTCACCCTACCTCACAACAGTACACTTGGAAAAGATGGATAGATAGTGAGTGATATCAAAGTAGACATATTTATGTGAGAGAATAAGCAATCTGAAAATGAAGGTTAGTGAGAATGTTCAAGCTTTAGATGCTAAAGAATGAATACATTGTGACGGATTTTCAGCCATGTCACCAAGAGTCAGTCCTCAACCACTTATTTATTTAGTCTTGAGGACCCCAACCACGCAGTCTACATCTCCTCACGAGTGAGAACATCAGTTTGGGACTTTCTGGAATGATGCCAAGTCCTGATCTGGTCACTTTGAACCCGCTTTCAACCTAATTCAACTTCCCCTAGCATAGTGCGTCGAGGTAGGAGATGGCTTGGCATGTGCAGTACATGCCTAAGCCATCTCAGTTGATTAAGGTCGGTAACCTTATCAATCGACTTGTCTATCTTTCCTGGTACCCTTCGTCTGATCACACCATCCCTTACATGGTGATTCCACCAAACCTGAGCAATAGTACGAAGATATCTGTGATCAAAACCATGCAACCGCTTCACGTCTTCTACTTTTAACGGTTATGTGTCAACAGTACAACAGGACATAAAGAAATGCAGCACAGTATACTCGTCCTTTGATGGATGGTTAGATATCTCGCTAGTTGGTGCCACAGGTGACGAAAGTTGGCAAAGTCTAAACGGACCTTCTGTATTCTAACTGAAATCACGTCACCAACCAGCCCGTTCGGGGTGGTGCAACTCACTGAATTATTGAAGTGGTCGACACGTCCCACCACTTCACTCCCTATCATTAATCTGGGAGTAGTTAAAGACCAGTCCTGGAGCATCATCTTACATTTGACAGGTGACAGTGAAACGCGTCTTCACGTAGAAGGACAAAATCGTCTGCATGCTCTAAGTCAACCAGATTACCTCCACGGAGTAGGTCAATCCCTATGAAGCCAGATGTATCTAAGGTCATGTCCATTAGTACGTCGATGACGAAGTTAAGTAGGAACAGTGACCGTAGGCATCCCTACAGAAAACCACTAGTCATAATAAAAGAGTAAAACTTGAGTACTGTGGTAGTGTAACTCCACTTTAGTTGACAAATCTAATAAATCAAATAAAATGGAATTACATTCTGCCACAGTGCCCAAGTTTCATTCTTATATTAACGAAACATATGATCTTCTTACCCGGAGACTAATCAACAAACACAACAATACTGTTTCACTGTGATAAGTCTCATAAATCAGCTAAAACGGAAGCACTAGTTGTCGTCAATTCTGAAGACAACTCTCTATAAGCTCTGACACAGTTGCGTGAGTTCGAGTAGAGAGCCTTGACTGGCTTGCATACTTTCTCGGTACTCCCTTTAGTCAGACACTGCCACAACACCTACCGCTCGACTGAGTCGAATGCCACCTTCGGGTCAATAAATGTGGCAAGTGTCGGGCACTAGCAGCTGGTAGGTATTCCTGTGCTCCAGAGCCTGTCAGAAGATAAAAATATATGATGGATGAACCCACTTCCAGATCTGAAACCTGCCTGGGTTTTTGTCGAATTTGCCGTTCTCGAGCTCCCATAACTATGGAGCCTAGGATATTGGACTCAATATTGGTCAAACTAATTCCCTATAGTTGTCACAAGAAAATGTTTCCCTTCACTTATAAACTGGAATGATCAATGAAGTACACAAGTCTGACGGCACTACCTCTGATTTCTATACACAATCTAGTACCCCCATCACTCTAATCAGCAATTTCCTACCTACATCCTTGAAAACTTCTGCTGAGGAACTGTCAGGTCCTGCTAATTAACATCGTTCCAGGTTCGATATAGCTGTCTCAACTTCAGAGAGAGTTGGAGGACTGACATCTACGTTCCATTCAGGTTTAGACTGGATGTTGAACAACTGAGGCGTTGCTGTGAGCCAGTTGAACTGTGCTTCAAAGTGTTCTGCCCAACCTTCTGGGATGTTATCAGCGTCGCATCCTTTTCGGCGATGATTTTGTTCACCATTGTCCTCTTCTTCCCGGTATCCCTAATAAGTCTAAATAGTTGCAGTGTCACCCAACGCTGATGCCTTCTCCATCTCTCTGGCTTCCACCTCCCACCACCGCTCGCGATCGACCCCAGGACTCTTGGTAAACTTACGCTTGAGTTGCTAGCGCTCTTCATCGTGATCAGAGGCAGTCTTGTCGCATAAACCAGTTCGGATGACGTCGCGGAAATCCAATGATGTTTGTGAACCTTTGTGTGCAGGCTACCAACTATCTTTAGAGCTGTTTCTAAAAAAGACTTAATATCACACCCAGTTTTCTTAGGGTGAGCATTTCTGTCATACTCAGATACTTGCTTAGTTAGCTCCTCTCTAAATGCGTACTTGGCGTTCTTATCTTCCAACTGACCATAGACAGGCTTCATTGCTACCCATTTCCTGCGACAAGTGAGGCCCAGACATACACGAGACCGTACTAGCGCGTGACTGGGGTCTAAACTGGTAACTCCAGAAAAAGCAGTAATCCACCACCGATGCCTTACAACTATGGCTTATAACAATGTGATCTACCTGTGTTCATTGTTGGTTCGAAGCCAGTAAGCACCATGTGGGGCAGTGCCTCCCTCTTATGCATAAAGTTAGTGCTGGCCAGAAACAAGTAATTGTTGGGGCAAAATTGAAACAGAAGGTCACCGTTATCGGTTCGTTGACACGGGATTCAGTAAATAGCTCTAGGATGCCTTTTCGATTGATTCAGCTCCCCTAGTTAAGCGTTAAAGTCAGTCACCCGCCATTATGACTATATCTGGACGTTTTGCTTTCTGTTGTAAGGTCCACAGCTTCTCACAGAATTCACTCTTCCCATCATCTGAACTACAGTTGGTGGGTGCGTAGGCGGAGATTACAAATAGGCATTGACGAGTGTTGCCGTCTTTCCTAGTTCTTACGGATCCATTCAGTCAGACACCACATAGACGGTTGTCGACCGGTATCTAGTCGAGAAGCGTACTTTCTGCTATACTGCTCAATGCTACGTCTACACCAGCGAGTTCACGAGAGCTAGCCATTGGATCTCTGAATATCCTCAAGGTGAATTTTGAAGATTCACTACAATGGCATGATGAGGTAGATTTAAGAACCACACTCGAGTTCTCTATACGTGTCTCAGAAACATACATCTATGGCTAGAGATTCCATAGTTTTGGACAGCCATGCCTGCCGTCCCATTTGACAGAGTTCGAACGTTGGAAGTTCCTAAATGAAATTGGTGGGGGGGATCTTAGGAGACTAGACATGAGGTTTCGACCGGACCTCTTGACGAGAGGTCAGGAAACACTCAAAAAGTGTTTGGTTACAAGATGAAGATACCTCAGCAACTCCAATATCGGAGTTAGTAGACTGAAATCCCATTCATTCTGTTGTTATTTCGCCATCTTAGTTTGTCCCTTTGAATTAGTTAATTATTACGTAAAATATACCGGCAAATTACTGCATCATCAATTTTTCGGAAACTCACTCGGATGGTACTTCACACTGTAGGTGGGCTAGAGCACGTTTGGGATTTTAGGTGGCGGAACATAAATTAAGAAACGAAATTTTTTTAAATATTCTGCCCTTTAAATTGACTTTACACCCTTTGAAATAAATGATTTTTTGAGTGAATAAGCATGTTATTGCCACTGATTTATTTACTTAGTATAAATGAAAATTATTACGAAATACGTAGATGAACATGATTTAGGATTTTATCTGGTATATTTTAGAACAATAACCTGAAATTGCACTATTATATCGACACAAAAACACATGGTAATGTCATGAGACATCAATAGGCAGAAATGCTGTGTTGACACCAGATACACAAGAAGTGATCAATGCAACTCATTAGTAGACAAACACCTAGGTCAAGTAGCGGCAGCTGAGTTTGAAATCCAACAGTCACTGGCATATCTATTAGGATACGAGCAAGTCTAGTAGAAGGATCTTACACAAAACAAAATGAGCAGTTACATTTGACTGCTAGTTAACCCGTATGTAGTATTATGACTAATTCAATTTCTGTCTTCTAATAAGATTCCAGTAATATAACGCTGAGAACAACACGAATTAGTAAACGAGTTTCATGATAAACCTATGGACACCCGAAACATCTATATACATTAGAATCAGTTTGTCCTAAAATCCTAGGCAAAAAATCTACTTAAACCTGTACTACTTCTTCGAGTATCTTTTTTTTTCCGTAACTTAGTTTTCTGGGGAAATTTAAAAACCTGGAGGTTTAAAGCATCGAAATAAACGAAATTCAAAGTAGAAAACAATAAAATTAAAGTTATGTTTGTGTGTAAATAATCGACAATTGACTGTGTAGATAAACGCTATACGCGTGGTGCCTCATAGTTTGAATCTTCATCGATGGTGGTCGCGTATGAAATGACTTACTAACCGAAAAACTAGTAACAACCGGTGAAAAAAAATCAGCCTGAATATAAAATATAGAAGCGGTAAGATGAATAATACACATTGATGAGAGAACTTACAGCACAGGCATGGCGAGCTCTTTGATTGCCTGGGTCTAATTGTAAAAGTTTCTTATAATCTTCGAATGCATCCGTTAACCTGTCCTTGCTTTCCAATAAAGTAGCACGCCGTTCTAGGCATTTAACATAATCCGGTTGCAAACTTAGGGATTCATTACAATCTAAGAGGGCAGCCTCAGGAGAATCCTATAAATAATAGCAAAAAATGTAGTCAGACCAGGTCTTTGCTTGATAATCCTGTATACTCCCAAAAACACCTAACCGTTAACAACGAAATCACACTTCCTTAATAGTTCCAAGATCATAACAGTCAACTAAAGCAATTAAAAAATAATGAAGCAATCGTAATAACTAGTTTGAACAAGAGTGCCGGTATAGTCCTATTGAATAAGTATGACTATAATGGGGAATTGTCAAAACTATCTGACGAAATCAGCTTCTCTAAGACAAAACTTAAGGGATAGTTGGAAGTTAATTGACTAAAACTCAATCATCAGTTATATGATATGAGAAAGACTGAGATCTGGACCAAAGATTTATCATCTACTCAAACTGCTCAACACATTTGTTACCTGAGATACGGACTTCAATTTACAGAATTTACTATAAGCTCTTAATTAACACCATTTACCCATCGCCTTTAAAGTGGAAATCAAATCGCATTCAGTTACTATTTCTTTGTGCATTACTAATAAGAGAGGATAGATGATTTAATAGATCCATTTATCGGGTGCCCACATGGAATAGATAATTGAGCAATTTTAACAGTTGGGCTTTTAGCTGAGAAAGAAATGTAATCCATGCCCTTCTATTTCGAATTCAGAAAGCCTGCACAACTGATGCACTGGAAGAACTAGGATTACGGAGTTTGATATCCCCTAAAAATGGATATTCTTAAAGCCTTTTCGTTTAAAATAAACACCAAGAAAGCCTCCCTAAGACAAATTTCAGGATGGATAAAAAACTATTCTGAACTTGGAATTCAACAGCAACACAGCAAACGTCTATTATGCATTTCTGAGGCTTCAGCAATACAACAGTGAAAGCCAGAAAAAGATGCTTATAAGTAGTTTTTCCACCTGCTTTCATAACTTATTAATATTATAAATACTTAAGCTTAATTAACTCTTATTATCTTTTGCCTTTTGAACTGATTTACAAATGTTTTCTCACCACTAAATCAGAAAACCCTACATAATTACTGAAATGCGATTAAAATTTCCAAGAATATCTCTGAAAACAAGTTTGTTCGCTGAAGCCTGTGTTATTTTGAGTTACAAGAATAGCTGTGCACAAATTTCAAAACAACCATAACGACTGTAGGAGTTTGGTAGGATTATTTCAAGAGATGTCATTGACTATATACCAACACAAATCGGAAATTAATAACAGTTTTAGCAGGACAGGTACTGTTTACCTTAATGATTCATGGTTACCCAGTTGATCTACACGAACTAGAAAACCTAGTCCTTGACATCCGAACATAGAAGAAAGACCGATGAGAGAAGCCTAAATTAATTAGTCTCATAGTGTACAAACAAAACTTTGCTGAAATCTCTTTACTGTTATGAGGTGGGGTTGAAATTAGTTAAATGTAGAATATAGACTTCGTTTCCAAGAGCCTTTTGGCATGATGCAATGGAACTAGGGAATGAAAAATTTGAGTGAAGTTGTAGAGTTCTCCAAAAAGGAAATAAACTAGTCACTGAGGTCATCTAACCATATATACTGACAGTTTAGCCATGTATTACGCACGCCGAGTCACCATATACGCTGATGTGTAGTGTTAAGATCTTAGAAGTATTAGGAATCGATTGTTTAACATTCCCAGTAGAAACTTAAAATTAATTATTTTGGTGCATATCTCAATCATCTCACTTTTCGTCTGTTTTACATCCTTTCTGCCGATATTTTCTTTGCTGCTGAAAGTTTTGCAACTGAAGACGATGCAGTTTAGCACAAAGTTTTACGTTACTTTGCTTGCTTAGTGCTGGTGTCAAGATGTGATGTAAAAACCTTAGGTTATACAATGAAAGGCAAACGCTCTTAATTTCGTAGTGTCCGGGTTAATTCAAACGGCTTTCAGCCTATGTGCTCATGTTTTTAGGTTGATAAAACCATAAACTTTTCAGGTACTCTGAAAATAACTAACCGACCGCATAAACAGATAGGGGACTTCGGTCGCATTCATATCTCTGACAACATCAGGGTTGCTCCTGCTTATCTCATTACCAACTGTATCGCATCCTGAAATCCTTTCACCTAAGTACTTAGTCTGTAACGATTCCAGCTTTCAAAACTATGTTTGGGATAATACACTGGTTTGAATTGTCAGGTTAAGCAACACACTTTACTAGCCAAGAACCTAGTCAGAAATCATGAGGTTGTTTCTATGGCACTGATATTAGGCCCCGAAAAGGCTATTCACCTAGTCTCCCTTGAAAAGCAGGTCACCACTATTTACCCTCAGTGTTTAGAAACGCGATTAGTTTTCATAACCTTGTGGAGGAAGATACAGTGAAAGTAAAAAATACGGTAAATTTTGGTCGACAGCTGCCTGTAAGTAGTCAAATCGGTGATTGTGTAGAACTCTGGAAGAACAAGCATAAAATCTGACATTCTTTGTATTGGCTTTACAAACTTATCAATTGTACATTTACGTGAAATATGTTCTAAGTGCCGCTGTCTAGTGTTCTATACAAAGTCAAAGATAAGGGAGCTAACCTAGGTAGCAAGCTGACACTGGCAAAACCCCTGGTGTTTAGAACTGAATAAAAGGAGACCAAATTACAACTACTTAGTGATGTAGTACATACTGAAATCCCCTTACTAAAACATTGGGATGTACCCGATTGCGCTATGGTCTTAGGTTTAGATTAATAATTACTTGAGTGAGAATACGCTTTCGATAACGTCACCTCAAGTTATAGATCTATACTTTTATGCATTACTTTCACACTAATAAGGACCAACCGAAGTAACGAAAGAGGAAAGGACCAAATCAGCAGTCGGTGAGCTTCCTTCGTAATGTCATCCTAATGTTGCAGAACGGTACCTGCCAGGATTTTATTACGAACTTCCCAACCGCAGACTTTTATTGTATAAAGACTTAGGAAGAAGAAAGAAGCGGAGAAAAATATAGAATATCGAATGAATGACTTGGAACAGTAAGTGATCGATTGAAATATTGTTCAGTGTCCTCTGTCGATCACACTTGACTTTTGCATTTAATAAACTGCTAATATCACATCACAAAGAAATAATAACCTTGTTTTGCGGCAATACTGCTGTCAAACATTTCGTTAACCCACAGAATAAGTGTCAGTTAAACAATGTGGGTAGGGGAACCGCGAAATGCCAGCAAGAAACTTCTCACTGGTTAATGAAACTGCAGAAATCTTTGCAACAAACTCCGAACAATGCGGAAAATGTAATGTACTGTCTCAATTCTTCCCTAAGTTTTTTAATTCAGAGCCAGCCCAGTTACTGACATGAGCCGAAAAGTTTTGCCAGATGGGCTTCCAGGGTTTGAGGTGAAAAAAAGAATGTGTCTGGATAAACACACGACAAAAATAATCTATGCTTAAACTTCAGGTGACTAACCAGTTTGATGTGGCACGCAGCTCTGTTGGCATAGATAACAGAACGCTCAACACAGCACTTCAAAGGACAAAGATCAAGAGCTTCTGTATAATTTGTCAAAGCCTCGGTGAATACACCTAATTTAAAAAGTGCGTTTCCCTTGTCCTTCAATAACATTGCATCATCACGTCGTTTCTAGAAATTAAATGGAATAGAAGAGACAAACCTCAATTTCTTGCACAGTAAGTGAATCTTCTTCTCTTTCCCTATCCTCTAATGATTTTTCACCGTTTACATCGATTGCTGCAGAAGTTTCAGAATGCTTGCTGTCTTCAATATTGGGAGACAATCTCCCAGATGACCCTGGTGAGAACTCATGGGCATCAACAAATTCATCTGAACATGAAGACATGTGACCTACACTTTCAAACTGTGCCAAGGTCTTCAGGCTTCAATGCACAACAATTAGGATGGTCGGCCAACTAGGCTTGTAATAATTCTTACACTAGGTTTCTCTATAAATATCTAGCTCCTTCTTGAATTATTCCAGTGAAAAAGCTCATGCCAGTCATTAACATACAAAGTTACAATCCGTATTCGCTATCTTTCAAACATATTCAATATCGAATATCTTTTAACGAGCTAGTGTAAACCAATTGATTTCTTCATGCTTGCTTCTAAGTCTTGCGGAACGGTTCCAGGTCTTTAGTGGATTCCAATGCAGTAGTCTACCCAATGGACTGCTGTAGCTCTGGTTAGCCCGACGGGTGGTTGGGTGTTGTTTAGATTTGTAGGGAGTGTTGTTTGTTAATGGAGTTTTGACTAGTATTTTCTTGATTTTCAACAGACTTCAAAGGCTTGCGTTATTCTTGCACCTACCGGCTCTCCATTGTTTTCGCTGTTGTTTCTGAGTTTTTCCTTACTTCTTTGTGAATAATAATGGTTAGCAATATGGACGTCTACAATAGATGACTGTGAACTTACTTTACAAACTGATAAGCGCAGTGATGGCCGTGATAACTTGCACCACGACGCTTTCAAAGACACGGCCCAGGCGAACTATGCTGAGGTCAGCAAAACTGAATATAAATGTTACTGTAAACTGTTCAGAGCGCAAGTCGGAGGTGTCCATGAAGATGTCATGAATCTGCTGCCGACAATCAGAGGGACATTGTTGGCTGAAGGAATGAAAGCCAATGGAAGTCTGAGAAAGGCGCATAAGGAACGGGAATTTGATGCTTCTATCCATCAGAAGGAAAGAAAAGATATAATGTTCACCGGTTTTTGCAAACGATAGGATATAACTGACCACAGCTGTCACCACTGTCATCAATTCCTCCAGCAATTTGCCCATACCTAGTAGCGCCACATAAGCTGTGACGAATTTACCTGGCAAATCTACTGTGGATGCAGACTGGAAAGCCAGAAACCGGAAGAGAAACGCTTGTCTCCGGACCACTTTACTGATAGCTTTGAAGATCCAAAACCTACTCACTCCGACCCCAGGACTGATAAGCAAAAGATTGAAACAGTCGGGTACAATACTTTGCAGCGTCACACACTTCTCCAGAACCAATAGCCTAAGGTTCAGCCAGATGAAACATTGATGCTGACCTCCATAGTTTAACTGGACTCGCTAAGCTAAGGGCACGCAGTCAAACATCCACGCCATTTGGCACACTGTCGTGTTATGTTGCACTGCTCGTAATCGGCCCTCTAGCTAGCTCATCATCATCAATATCAACATAGGACCAGGCATTACTGAGTAACGGTCCGAGTTACCACAGCTCATATCAGTAAATCAAGTAGAAAGGTAGTGAGGTGAAAGATGAAATATATTTTCTAGGTGCATAATATAATCTGGCACATTAAAGAAATGTTTTCAACCAGCGGTATAAGGTTTACAGTACTTAGAAGAATTAGAATAGGTTTTTCATACAAGGCAACTGAAGATCTTGTTTTCAGCGAAAAGGATAGTAGCCTTGCTAAAGTCAATAAACACCACAAGCACAGGAAGTTTATCATCAACAGGGTTATCCCATTCCTCCGTCGCAGGAGTAGATCTGTCAAACCACAACTTGGAGTTCGGAAGCTATGTTGTTGTTGTGTCAGTAGTTTATCTGCTTCTAAATACTTGATTATCTTAACCACGATACTAGCTAGACTGATAGATTGGCAATTGATAACTTGTTATTTATCATCCCTCTTAAACACAGGCCTTATTATGCTGTTCTTATAATCATTCAGTAGCTGTGCTTTATATAACGACATGTCATATAAAACAGCCAAGTGTACATCAAGAATATCAGCCAAAAGCAGCAGATTTTTCGAACGCAATCAATCCAAGCCAGGTGATTTTCTAGGCCTTACTTTTCCGAGCAGTTACAGAACTGTTTCTTTTATGATTCCAATAAGTTCCATTAGAGGAATATTAGAAGAACTATTATTATCAAGAGTCAAATCAGATTTGCCAACGGGAAACACTAAGCCCAAAATAGTTTGATAAGTTATCGGCTTTAGGTGGGCTGTTTTGCAGATTTAACAATGAATAGAAGAAAACATCGCGGTTGGTGGAAATGCTCAAAAATCTGTTACATTACAATTCTTAAGGTACTTGAATTGCAAATCTTTATACTGGCTGAACGAACCACCACCACTAAACTTACGGTCGCTTTCCGATTCATTCCCCATTCTAGACCAGACGAAAATTTAACACCAGCTGACAGTTTCACATTACTGCAGTTAGCATTGTTGTCATTATTATCATCATTCAGACGTTACAGTTATTTAATTTAGATTTATTGTAATGGAAGTGAAGTTGTTGAAATATTGTTGGCTGAGAATTCCATACTGTATCAAACAAATTGTTCCGAATAAAGGGATTATTATTACTTATCACTGCTACTAATAGTAGTAGTATCAGCATTATTCTAATAACGATAAAACGTTTGTTCGAAACCACTCACAACTGATATTGAAGGTATTATTTAAGTTTCTCTATTGTTACCTTTAACATATTTTCTACGAGCTTAATAGTTTTGAACTCAGTATGCTGCCGAATGTTTGGTTTGTTTTTGAAATGTGAATTTTTATTTTAGGGTAATTATTACACAACACTCTATGTGCTGATATGAGGTGTGGCAACTCGGACCTTTACGCAGTAATGCCTGGTCCTATGTTGATAATGATGATGATGACACAACACTCTCACATTCCTCTAGGTGGTACTTATCATGAATTGACACCAGTTGGAGAGCCACTGAGAGCTTAACAGCACTAAACAGTCGTTTCGTTCCTCGACAGAGCGCACCCATCATGGATCGAACCTAGGATCTTCATATTTTGTGGTGAACAGGTTAACATTCACCTAAGGGATTGGAATGCCATTATAACAAGTCCGAATAACTAATGATTGGCCTTTACGTCTGCCAAGTTCGCACTAGGACAAATCCTAAATTGGTGAGCCCGACGTGATCAAATTTCCCGACCAGTAACAAATATTGAATTAGTGAGCCTGTTCCATTTTATACTTCTACATTGTTTCCATTTTGATAACCATTATATATCCAGTTACCACACTTTTTCATGTCCGACCACACTCCCTAGCTTATTCGTATTAAGCCGACTGCGAACACTATCCAACTCGTGCCATATTGGCCAGACAATGTGGAAACATGGTTTCTGTATGCTGAGGCAGATTTTCGAGAACAGGGTGTCTCAGATCTTCATTCTCCATTTCTTGCTGTCAAACATTCACTACCTCAGGAATTAAACAGGCGTGTTACAGCACGTATGTTTGGTGATGAAGTAAGTGATCCTTATGCACTTCTCAAAGCCACACTGTTGAAGAGAGGCGATCTCAAAGATCGCCAGCGCCTAGACGGGTCACTTCGTAACATCGGGCTAGGCAGCCACTCAGCTACTGAAGTCCTCGCACACATGCGAGAAGTAATCGGCGCACAGGCATTCGACGGTGGCCTTTTCCGAGAACTGTTTCTCTCAGAACTAATGCAACCGGTGCAGACCGTGTTAGTGACACTGCAGTCAGTCCCACTCGATGATCTGGCAGCCTCAGCAGATAAAACACTGCATATCCCTAGCAGACCCATCTCCAATGTATATTGTCTACGATACACCAGAGAGAGGACTCAGAAGTGGCGAAGCTGTGGATGTCTGTTAAACAGTTGCTACGATCTCGAAGCCAAAGTTCACGTAGCACTTCACAGAAATGCATCTTAGCGCGTTGCAGCAACTCGTGCGGTTGTCCAGAATCTAAACCTAACAGGGTGGAAAACCAGAAATGGTGCTGGTTTCGTAATACTTACGGAGACGAAGCCAAAAAATGCCGGAAGCCGTGGAGTTTTAACAGGATCACAAACTCGTGAAACAGCCATGCCGGCACGTGGTCACGGAATCGTAGCCGGCGGAAACAGCCGTTTGCTCTACGTCACCAACATAAAAACGAAAGTTCGCTACCTCATCGACACCGGCGCAGAAGTTAGCGTCCCTCCCGCACTGATAAAGGAGCGTCATCATCACCCATCCTTCAATCTCCAGGCCGCTGACGTCAAGGCAGTCGCGACATTCGGGAGACAGTATGCCTACCTCAGCTGAGGTCTACGTAAACCTATCCACTGCATTTTCCTTCTAGCTGACGCTTCTATGCCCATCATTGGGATAGATTTGCCAGACCGTTGTGACTTAGTCGTAGATGCTCGCCGTCAACGACTGACAGATAGCAGCACGAAGTTATCTATTGGCGGCACACCAATGTAGGTCCGAGTTTGGCCACCGTCAGAACCAGACAGTCAGGCGACGCGTAGTACCAAGCAGTTTTACAGAGATGTCCAGAGTTGCAACAACCGAAGCATACTCTCCCGTGCATAACCAGCAATGTTGCGCATCACGTGACAACCACAGGTCCACCTGTGGTATCCAAAGCACGGCGTCTACCCCCTGACAAGCTCAAAACGGCGAAGAGTGAATCCGACCACATGCTGGAACTGGACATTATCAAACTGTCAAACAGTCCTTGGGCGTCACCGTTGCATATGGTTCCCAAAAAGGATAGCGACGACTGGTGTCCAACCGGTGATTACTGAAGGCTTAATGTCAAAACAACACCGGACTGCTGCCCGATACCTCACGTTTACAACTTGACCGCAACGTTAGGCGGAATGAACATATTCTCCGAAATCGATTTGGTCAAAGCGTACAATCAGATACCTATGGCAGCAGAAGATATCGCGAAAACAGCCATTATAATTCCTTTCGGTTTGTTTGAATTCCTGCACATGCCATTTGGTCTTCAGAATGCAGCACAAACATTCCAACGCTTCATGGATGATGTCTTCCGTGGTTTGAATTTTGTTCATGTCTACATCGATGACTGTCTAATTGCGAGTCCAGATA